GTTACTTGTTGTTTTTCCCTTGCTGCTTTTAATGTTTTTTCTTTGTATTTAATTTTTGATAGTTTGATTAATATGTGTCTTGGCGTGTTTCTCCTTGGATTTATCCTGTATGGGACTCTCTGTGCTTCCTGGACTTGATTAACTATTTCCTTTCCCATATTAGGGAAGTTTTCAACTATAATCTCTTCAAATGTTTTCTCAGTCCCTTTCTTTTACTCTTCTTGTTCTGGGACCCCTGTAATTCGAATGTTGGTGCATTTAATGTCCCAGAGGTCTCTGAGACTGTCCTCAGTTCTTTTCATTCTTTTATCTTTATTCTGCTCTGCAGTAGTTATTTCCACTGTTTTATCTTCCAGGTCACTTATCCGTTCTTCTGTCTCAGTTATTCTGCTATTGATCCCTTCTAGAGTATTTTTAATTTCATTTATTGTGTTGTTCATCATTGCTTGTTTACCCTTTAGTTCTTCTAGGTCCTTGTTAAATGTTTCTTGCATTTTCTCTATTCTATTTCCAAGATTTTGGATCATCTTTACTATCGTTATTCTGAATTCTTTTTCAGGTAGACTGCCTATTTCCTCTTCATTTGTTAGATGTGGTGGGTGTATACCTTGGTCCTTCATCTGCTGTGTGATTTTCTGTCTTCTCATTTTGCTTATCTTACTGTGTTTAGGGTCTCCTTTTTGCAGGCTGCAGGTTCGTAGTTTCCGTTGTTTTTGGTGTCTGTCCCCAGTGGCTAAGGTTGGTTCAGTGGGTTGTGTGGGCTTCCTGGTGGAGGGGACTAGTGCCTGTGTTCTGGGGGATATGGCTGGATCTTGTCTTTCTGGTGTGCAGGTCCACGTCTGGTGGAGTGTTTTTGGGTGTCTGTGGCCTTATTATGATTTTAGGCAGGCTCTCTGCTAATGGATGGGGTTGTGTTCCTGTCTTGCTAGTTGTTTGGCATAGGGTGTCCAGCACTGTAGCCTGCTGGTCGTTGAGTGAAGCTGGGTCTTAGTGTTGAGATGGAGATGTTCGGGAGATTTTCGCCGTTTGATATTACATGGAGCTGGGAGGTCTCTTGTGGACCAGTATCCTGAAGTTGGCTCTCCCACCTCTGAGGCACAGCACTGACCCTTGGCTGGAGCACCAAGAGCCTTTCATCCACACGGATCAGAATAAAAGGGAGAAAAAGAAGAAAGAGAGGAAGGAAGGAAGGAAGGAAGGAAATAAAATAAGGTAAAATAAAGTTATTAAAATAAAAAATTAAAATAAATATTAAGAAAAAAGTTTTTTTTAAAAAGAAAAAAAAAAAAACGGACGGACAGAACCCTAGGACAAATGGTGAAAGCAAAGCTTTACAGACAGAATCTCACACAGAAGCATACACATGCACACTCACAAAAAGAGGAAAAGGGGAAAAGATAATGTATCTTGCATTCAAAGTCCACCTCCTCAATTTGGGATGATTCATTGTCTATTCAGATATTCCACAGATGCAGGTACATCAAGTTCATTGTGGAGATTTAATCCACTGCTCCTGAGGCTGCTGGGAGAGATTTCCCTTCCTCTTCTCTGTTGCACAGCTCCCGGGGTTCAGCTTTGGATTTGGACCTGCCTCTTCGTGTAGGTCACCTGAGGGCATCTGTTCTTCGCTCAGACAGGACGGGGTTAAAGGAGCAGCTGATTCAGGGCCTCTGGCTCACAGGCCGGGGTGAGGGAGGGGTGCGGATGCGGGGCGAGCCTGCGGCGGCAGAGGCCGGTGTAACGTTGCACCAGCCTGAGGCGCGCCGTGCGTTCTCCCGGGGGAGTTGACCCTGGCAGTGACGGGCTGCACAGGCTCCCAGGATGGGTGGTGTGGATAGTGACCTGTGCTCGCACACAGGCTTCTTGGTGGCGGCAGCAGTAGCCTTAGCGTCTCGCGCCCGTCTCTGGAGCTCCTTTAAGAAAGTCTCTTGCCTCTTCGGCAGCTCCAGACTTTTTCCGGACTCCCTCCCGGCTAGCCGTGGCGCCCTAACCCCTTCAGGCTATGTTCATACCGCCAACCCCAGTCCTCTCCCTGCTCTCCAACCGAAGCCCAAGCCTCAGCTCCCAGCCCCGCCCGCCCCGGCGGGTGAGCAGACAAGCCTCTCGGGTGGGTGAGTGCCGGTCGGCACCGATCCTCTGTGCAGGAATCTCTCCACTTTGCCTCCCGCACCCTGTGGCTACGCTCTTCTCCGCGGCTTCGAAGCTCCCCCGCTCCGCCACCCGCAGTCTCCGCCCCCGAAGGGGCTTCCTAGAGTGTGGAAACCTTTCCTCCTTCACAGCTCCCTCCCAGAGGTGCAGGTCCCGTCCCTATTCTTTTGTCTCTGTTTTTTCTTTTGCCCTACCCAGGTACGTGGGGGGTTTCTTGCCTTTTGGGAGGTCTGAGGGCTTCTGCCAGCGTTCCGTGGGTGTTCTGTAGGAGCAGTTCCATGTGTAGATGTATTTATGATGTATCTGTGGGGAGGAAGGTGATTTCCGCGTCTTACTGTTCCGCCATCTTCCTCGACTCCGGCAAGCGGATTCTTAACCACTGTGCCACCAGGGAACCCTTTGGAGTTTTCTTTTAGGGAAGGTTTAGATTTGTTGTTTACTAGAGTTTCAATTACTTTAATAGATGCAGTGCTATTCAAGGAATCTATTTCTTTTTGAGCAAGTTTTAATGACGTTTATTTTCCAAGGAATTGGCCCATTTCATCTAAATCATTGAATTTACTGTGACAGATTTGTTCATAATATTCTCTTATTATTCATTTAATATCAGTATTTTATAGGAATATTTCCTCTATCATTTCTAATATTGGTAGTTTGTGTCTTGTAACTTGTTTTTCCTGATGACTCTGGCTAGAATTTTATGAATTTTGTTCATCTTCTAGAAAAGTAAGCTTTTTATTTCATTGATTTTCTTTCTTTCTTTATTTTTTTGTGTGTCCAATTTCATTCATCTTTTACTTTGGTTTTCTCTTGATACTTTCTCTTGGGATTAAAAAAATATTTATAAAAAGGCTTCAATAAGAAAAAGGTTTTTCCTTGCATATCTTTCAGGGTTGGGATGATATATTAGTTTCTATTGCTGCCATAACAAATTACCACACATTTAGTAGTTTAAAACAGCAAGAATTTATTCTGTTACAGTTCTGGAGGCAAGAAGTTTGAACTGAGTCTTAATGGGGCTGCAATCATGTCAGCAGAGCCTTGCTCCTTCCAGAGGCTCTGAGGCAGAATTTGTTCTTTGCCTTTTCCAGCTTTTGGTGGCTACTGGCCTTCTTTGAGGTGTGGTCACATCTCTCCAGTCTCTGCCTTCATAGTCACATTACCTTCTCCTCTTCAGCCAAATCTCCCTCTGCCTCCCTGTTTATAATACTTGTGTTTAAATATAGGGCCCATCCAGATAATCCAGGAAAATCTCCCATCTCAAGATCCTTTTATTTAATCACATCTGCAAAGCCCCCTTTTCCATGTAAATTAACTTCCCAGGTTCCAGGGATTAGGAATTTGAGACTTGGGGGATCATTATTCAGTTCATCATAGGTGAGTATAGCTGTAGGGTGAATTTCAAGAAGTGAAATTGCAAAGTTATATTGCAAATCGTCCTCGAAGAAGTTGCACCACTTATAATATTCTTTCTTGATGAGGTTAAACATATCTTGTCGTCTTCTGGTCTTAAAAGTCATGCTTTGAAAGTACTTTACAAAATGGTGAAGAGGTAAAATGAAAATGTTCTCAACCTTACTAATCATGGGGGAAGTGCAAATCAAAATCACAGTAGATATCACTTCATACCTGTTAGGATATGCTGTTTTTTAATTCATTTTTTATTAAGTATAGTTTAATTACAATGTTGTGTTAATTACTGAGGATATGTTTTATTAATAAAAGTTAATAGGTGTTGGTGAAGGTGTGGGAAAATCTGGAACCTTTGTACAGTGTTGATGGGAATATAAAATGGAGTAACTGTTATGCAAAAAAGGACTTTATATTCTAAGCAACAAAATGTTGTATACATTTTCATCTATTATTTTTAGGAAATCCATCTTAAATATATCAAGTTTACAAATGTTGATGTATTGGGTTGGCCAAAAGGTTTGTTCAGTTTTTTCCCTAAGATGGCTGTATTAGCACTTAGTTGTCTTTAACTTCATTTGGAGTCATTTTGTTAGATTGTATGTGAAAGCTATCATATTGGCATGCATTTAAAAAAAGACTTATCAAAATTGGTCAACTTTTGTGTAGCCATTTTAATAGTGAAGATGGAGGGAAAACAACATTTTTGGCATATTATGCTTTATTATTTCAAGAAAGGTAAAAATGCAACTGAAATGCACACAAAGATTTGTGCAGTGTATGGAGAAGGTGCTGTGACTGATCAAACATGTCAAAATGGTTTGCGTAGTTTTGTGCTGGAGATTTCTTGCTGGATGACGCTCCATGGTTGGGTAGACCAGTTGAAGTTGATGGCGATCAAATCGAGACATTAATTGAGAACAATCAACATTATACCACAAGGGAGATAGCCAGCATACTCAAAATATCCAAATCAAGCATTGAAAATCATTTGCACCAGCTTGGTTATATGAATCGCTTTGATGTTTGGGTTCCACATAAGTTAAGAGAAAAAAACCTTCTTGACTGTATTTCTGCATGTGATTCTCTACTTAAACGTAATGAAATGTTTTGTTTTTAAAACAAATTGTGACAGGCGATGAAAAGTGGATATTGTACAATAATGTGGAATGGAAGAGATTGTGGGGCGAGCGAAATGAACACCACCAACCACACCAAAGGTCGTTCTTCATCCAAAGGAGGTGATGTTGTGTATATGGTGGGTTTGGAAGTGAGTCCTCAATTATGAGCTCCTTCTAACCAAACAATTAATTCCAACTAGTACTGCTCCTAATTAGACCAAGTGAAAGCAACACTCAACAAAAAGCGTCCAGAATTAGTCAATAGAAAACACATAATCTTCCATCAGGGTAACTCAAGACCGCATGTTTCTTTGATGACCAGGCAGAAACTTACAGCTTGGCTGAGAAGTTCTGATTCATTGGCCATATTCACCAAACATTGCACCTTCGGGTTTCCATTTATTTCAGTCTTTACAAAATTCTCTTAATGGAAAACATTTCAATTCCCTGGAAGACTGTAAAAGTCAGCTGGAACAGTTCTTTGCTCAAAAGGGCAAAAATTTTGGGGAAGATGGAATTATGAAGTTGCCTGAAAAATGGCAGAAGGTAGTGGAACAAAAGGGTGAATACGTTGTTCAATAAAGTTCTTGGTGAAAATAAAAAATGTCTTTAATTTTACTTAAAAACTGAAGGCACTTTTTGGCCAACCCAATAAAATTAATTTGTGTATTTTAATGTGAAGGCATCTTATTTACTGAGAATTTTTCCTTTTATCATTTTTAAATATCTTTATCATTTATTAACTTCATTTATTTATTTATTTATTTTTGCGGTACGCGGGCTTCTCACTGCTGTGGCCTCTCCCGTTGCGGAGCACAGGCTCCGGACATGCAGGCTCAGCGGCCATGGCTCATGGGCCCAGCCGCTCCGTGGCACATGGGATCCTCCCGGACCGGGGCACGAACCCGTGTCCCCCGCATCGGCAGGTGGACTCCCAACCACTGCGCCACCAGGGAAGCCCAACTTCATTTATTTTAATGCTTACTAGCTTTTATTTAATTTTGCCTAATATTAATATCCTAATTTTGTTTTTATTTTGAATGAGTTTATTTGGTGTGTTCTGTGCCCATATTTTTGCTTTGAAGCTTACTATTTAACCTTGATTTACATATTTCTGCTATGTAACTTGAAGCCAGGTTGTTGTTGCTGTTTTTGCTTTTCTATAAGAGATTTTTCAAATGTATGTTTGACTTGATTCTGTCACCTTATTTCATTTTTCCATTTAATTATCATGCTATATTCTTATTTTCCTTCTTCTGTTACTTTGAATATATATAGTTTGTTTTAATTCTGGTGGTTATGTTCTTTACTTTAAATGATGTATTTAACACCTTTTTAAACAATTATAGATGTTAGAAAGAAAGAGTATCCTATTGCTTTCCTGATGACAATGAGAAAAATTAATGAGCTTAGAGATTGATCCACCACCTTTATCCTGTTATGCACCTCCTGTAGCCACTTCACAAGTTTTCTTATTAGTTCATTCCATTATAGTCCACTGTAATTATATATAGTTACATTATAATTTCTTATATTATTTAGATGTATATCTGTATTTTCTCTTTCTGTGATGTATATCTGTATGGGATATGGGATTATCTATCATCTATCTATCTATCTATCTGTCTATCTAAAAGAGACAAATAGGTGTTTACTAAAGGGGCAAATAAAAGGCTAGAAATTCCAAACTTGGAATAAAGGAGTAAGAAACTTTGGGTAACGTTCAAAAAAGAAAGAAAGAAAAAAAGAAAAGAAAACAAAATGAAAAGGTGATTGTATATTGTTAAGAGCCTAATTTAATTTAATTCTATGAAATACAATAGCCAAATCTTTGGTATCCATGATACTGTAGGAACTTGAATAGTTTTTTCATTGTTGTTTGTTTTAGATCTTTGTCTTTCTTCTTTATTTCTGTGAGTAGAGCATACACGTACCCCCATACACCACCCCCATACCACAATTTAACAGAACTGAAAATTCCTGATTGCTTTCTTCTAGAATTTAATAGAGTAGGAATCAAGCTGTGAGACATCATTTTATTCTTCATCAATTTGGAAAAAGAAAACCGTAATAAATAAGATTAGAGCACCGAGAAGAAAGCAGGTCATTCTCTGACACTAATTATGCCAGTGGGGGAGTAGTTTCATAAGGGTTCAAGCCTCAGAAAAATCATCCCTTTTCAGAATCAACAATGAAAGAGTTCCTTATTCATGGATTTCTTTGAGACCCTGACAGTACCCCTAACTATACCTAGCTTCAACACATTATCTTTCTAACATAGCTCTTGGTGGCTATACCAGTGTTCTGGGGGAGATCAAGACCTTATTTTAATAATCGAGCATGTGATTAGTTTTGTGGAGAACAGAGTTACAGCCCTGGAAAGATACACATGGAGAGAACTGAAGCCTCCTGCAAATAATGACAGATGGAAAGCTGGAAGCAGATCCTCCAGGCCCAAATAAGCCTCAGATGACCTCAGTGCTGGTCAACAACTTGACTGCAACCTCAGGAGAGACCCTAAGCCTAACCACCCACATAAGCCACTCAAGTTTCCCGACTCTTAGAAACTGTGAGATAAGTATTTGGTGTCTTCAAGTACTAAATTTTGGAATAATCTATTACACAGAAGTTGAAGTCATACAATGGGAAATCAGTCAGTGATAAAATGGGGAACAGGTACTGGGGAGAAAAAATATCCCTTGATTTCAAGGATAAAAGTGGATTTCTTTTAACCTCCAAGGCTATCTGTCCTGTTCAATTCAGCAGTCACTTTTTTTTTTTTTTTAGTGACTATCAGTTTTTGGCAAAGTGCTAGTGAGTTAAAGACTAAAATATAAAAACCACAATTAACATCTTTGTAAATTATAATCTAGAAAAGTGTGCCTCTTAAATCCCCTCCTTTCTTCCCTCCCTTCCTCCTTCCGTTCCTTCCTTCTTTTCTTCTATCCATACCCCTTTTCTCCCATGTTTTTTCCCTTTCTTGATCAAGTATTAAATAGACTTCAGTCTCTCAGTAGCATCCCTGCTCCTAAGTTCTGATAAAATTCAACCTTTTATTAAACAGTGACTCTGAGGCATGCTTACTGTCAGACAATGAGGCATTAATTAAAAAAACAAACCAAACATTAAAACCTCATTAAGAGCACTTGACTTAAGCTAAGAAAAAAAGAAATGCTAGGACTTTTTTTTTTACAAATGTTACTGATTTCATATTAGTTTTTAATTAAAATTGAAGCAGTGAGATTAAAACAAAAATGTAAAAGGGATATGCATATCCTTTTAACTGAGCAGCCATTTAGTCATATTTCATTTAGCTTAGTTATTTCAGATATGTTTGATGACATGATCTGAAATCTGTTGCATGTTTATAAACATAGACTGATGAGCTGACTAGGAACTCCAGGATGCTGGGGGGTGTTGCAGTTGACTATGTACAGTCGCTTAGAATCCATGAGGCAAAGAGCAAATGGACTGAGAATGTGATGTGGGGTGACAATGTAGCACCTCCAGGAGGTGCTAGAAGATTGTTTCCTCAGTAAGTCAGAAATCTGATATTGCTGAGAATAAACGAACTTCTTTAGAAGCAGACTTAGAATGAATATTCACAAAAATCTTTCCCCTGTCAAGGCTTCTTTCAAAAATAAATCATAAAGCGTTGTTTATCAAGAAGAAATAACTTGACACAAGCAAATCTGTAAATTTCTGCTGGTTACATACACACACGTGCACACAACAATTATATGTGTCTATATATATATATATATATATATACACTACATGCATGCAAATATATGTTATATGTATCTATATTTATATACATATAAAGAGATATCTGTAAGTAGATATTGGCAATATAAAATACATTTAATTAAGGTTTATACTTTTTCTATTAAAATTATATTTTTGAATCATTTGTAGTGGTAAAAAAAAGTTTGTGAATCTTCTCCTCAGTTTAGGTATGAAATCAAAGTTATTTTTTCCTTAAATTTTAAGCAACATCTGTTCTTAACTTTTTTTAGCTATTCTGTAGTTCAAAAGTATCATTGTATACTATTTAACATGGCACTTAGATTCAGAAACTATTCCTGTACAAACAAAAGTGACAAAATTCTTCTGCTGGTTGAGAATATAGTCATATATTTCTGCAGTATTATAAATACAGAAAAGTGTGATAATATAATTACCAGTTAACTTAAAAAAAATAAAGTAACATTTTAAATTTAGCTTTGGCCTCCTTTCCAGCCTTCATAATTCCCTATTTTTTCTGTTTAGATTTAATATATATTCTTCTAACAGATCTATAGGAATCAGGAAATAGAAAAAATATATATAAATATATATATATGATCTATAGTAATATAATAAATGATATAATTCACATGTATAATATATAACATAAATATACATTATACTATGTAAATATGGTGATAGTTTACATATATGCTCTTTGAAAATCTGGTCCTCTCCTTATGTAATTTGTAGTCTAATTGTGGGATAGCCGTTAAATATATAATTCCATAAAATGTATATATTCATACCATTATATGTGCTATTAAATACATGATCACTGCTCTCAATTTATGTGCAATATTGGAGATGACTTCTGTGAGGAAGTCAAGGTACAGCTGAGTTCAGGCAACTGTGTGAGAGTTGATTAGGCAAAGAGAAAAATGAATTTTGTTTCTAATGAAAGAGACAATATTGTCAAGGCCTTGGGGGAACTTGGAATGTTTGGAGAACTAAAGGAATTTCAGAGTGGCTGGAATGCTGAGACAACAAGAGGAAGAGAGGGATAATATGCCATCACAGGAAGGGATAAAACTATGTAGAGCATTAAAAGGAGATGTATATGTTTTTGTCTTTATCCTAATCACATTGAAGAATAATTTGAGGCATTTTATGGTGGACATAGGAGGAGGGCTGGATGAAATTATTCATTTATTTCTGTTCTGTGTGCAGTGGAAAATGGACTAGAGAAAAATCAGATTAAGTTGCTATTGAAATAATCCAAGCAAGAATTGATGCTAGGTTGGACTGACTGGTGGTAGAAGGCAGACAGAAGAGCATAGATTTGAGTTTTATTTGGGATACAGTGATGGGCTTCACTGTATATAAGATGTGAGGCGTGATCAATGAATGGATGCTGGCCAAGTTTATCCAAAAAAATTGATCAATTTATTCTCCCCATTTTTCCTCCATAAATCTCTCTAGTTCAAAAGCCAACTTTGGTTGAATTCTGTGAACAAATGTGTCCGTGCCTGTATAAAGGCAACCGAGTATTACAGGAGAAAAATCATAAAGCTCTGATGATTCCTTTTATTTTAAAGAAATGATCATATTCTCAAATGAGCACTCAGTGCAGGTCAGTAATGATACTTAATTTCTCATTTAATCTCTGAAAATGATGTTCTATTATATATACTTCTTCCCTAGAATTAAACCCCCTTGAAAACCCCAGTGGAAGACAGTCATCTTCAAATAGATTAAGAGGATGCATGTAAATGGGATGCGCTCATCTTCAACCATCAAATTCTGTTTTCTGCATCTGTAAACATTTTCTGTCTTCCCTCCTGTTTTTATAGATGGAAGAAGTGAAGTGCTCTGATCTATTAAAAAATTTAATCTCTCCAATTATCCAATTATCCCCTCTTCTCTTTCCTCATGGATGTCATTTTTGCATTTATTATTATCTTCCATATCACAAATTTTTTCAACTTTATTAGATCACGTATGTTTGCGTAAAATGTGCTACTAGTAACTTACATCTTTAAAACAGACTTTACCTTTTCTTCGCACTATTCCTCTATTCCCTTTCTTAACAAAACATCTCAAAATAGTTTTCTACACTCCTTGTCTTCACTTTCTCATTTCCCAGTTACTCTTTAACCCATTCCAACCCTAGCTGAAAGGGTAATGGTCAAAGTTAGCAGTGACCTGTAAATTGTCAAATCCAAGAGTCACTTCTCTGTCTTCATTTCACTCAGCATCTCTACAGTATTCAGCATTGTTGATCACAGTCTCTCTTTATGATATACTTGAATCTTTTGCTACTGTGATAGGCTGAATAATGGCCCCACCCAAAGATATGCACATCCTAATCCCAGAATTTGTGAATGTGTTAAATTACATGGTAAATATGACTTTGCTAATGAGATTAGGATAAAGATCTCGAGATGGGGAAATTATCTTGGATTATCTGAGTAGAACTGATGTAATCAAAAGCCCTTACAAAAGATTTGCAGGAGAGTCACAGAAGATGTGACAATAGAAGCAGACGTGAGAGTGATGTGGGGACATGAGACAACGAATGCAGAAACTTCTAGAAGGTAGAAAAGGAAACAGATTCTTCCCTAGAATGCATCCCTGACTACCCATTTTAGACTTCTGACCTCCAGAAATGTAAAAGAATTAATCTATATGACTTTAAGCTACTAAATTTGTAGCAGTTTGTTACAGCACCAATAGGAAACTAATGCAGTTACTATTATGACACCCAATATTCTTATTTTTTTTCTTACCACATTGATCAATCTGCCTTCTCCTCCTCCTGAAATAAATTTCGGGACTTGGTCTTGAGGCTTCATGTATTCACCATCTGTGAGCTTTCCTTAGGTGATTGCACAGTGTTTCAATGTCTTTAAATACAGTCTATATGCTGATGAATCTCCATCTTCAGCTTCTCACTTGATCTTGAGACTAAACTCAAACTGCCTGCTTAAAAGTTCTGTTTTATGTCTAACAGGTACATCAAACTCCACATGGCCAATATGAAAGTAGCTTAACCTTCCCTCTCTCTGCAAATGGCACTACTGTTTTTCCAGATACTCAAGACAATTCTCTAGTCATCCTACATGCAATCCTAGATCAAGTATTCTACCTCTAAGATCAAGTATTCTACCAAAATAGATCCCAAATCTGTCCACATTTGCCATTTCTTCTATCACTATCTTAGGGCAAATCAAAAAATTCCAGACTCAATTATTAAATTGTTTCTACTTTTCTTTTTCTTCCTTTTTTTTAATCCTGTTGTCACAAAGGGATTTTTTAAATTAAACTGAGAATGATTTTACTCCTAGAAGTAAAACCCTTTAATTGCTTCCCACCTATCTTATAATTAAACCAAATCTTTTCACTATAGCCTATAAAGCCCTACAAAGTTTCACTTCACGAACTAAGATTCCAAGATTGTAGGAAAAGATATTGGAAATGTAAGCATCATATGAGGGACCCTTGATGCCTTACTAAAAATTTGAGCTTTTCTCTGTAGTTGAAAGTTTAGTCGTAAATAAACTTAAGAGAACTGACACTATCAGATTTGCCTTTTTGAATGACTCTGACGCTGATAAGGAGAGTTACTGAAATGAGAAAATATTGATATATAAATTACTGTGGAGCTTGATGCGGACCAGTGGGACCAACAGGTGGAAGTTTGAAGATGCCCAGTGAACTGACCCACTTTCTTGTCATAATATTGCTACTCAAAGTTACATGATCCTCTTATTTGTACACCTAGAAATTTAGAGCTCAAAATAAACTTAGTGGTAACTAGATGATACACTTATTTTATAAATGAGAAAACTAGATACTGAGGGGATAGGAGACATTCTTGAAATCATGCACCTGCAGTAAAGACAGGTGCAATTTTGTAATTTTATATGTATGTGTATAATTTTATGTGTGTGTGTAATTTTATAGCTTATTAGACATAAGACTCTTTTACATCTTATAGAAGATTTTTTAACATCCTGAGATAACAGCTAAGCGGTTATTTCCTCATTATCAGAAGAGGTAAGTAAAGTGTCTTGCCTAAGTGACATTAAGCAAATAGCAGAAGTAAAAAACTAGAACTTTAGATTTCCAGATGATTCTTCTTCCTCATTTTCTACTGTATTGTGTGAAAAGTTCAGAGGATGCATTGTGCCACCAGACCCTGAATACTGAATGTGATTTCTTCTCAGTCTCCTTATCAGTCTAATTTGAACCCCAAACATCTCAAGATAGACCCCCTAAGAATAGTAAAGAAAGAACTAGGCTCATTAACTTACATTTTACTGATGTGGAAGCATATTTTGCATTACAATTAAACTCAAATGTCACTACTTCATTGAACATTTTCTCTTCAAGCAGAAAATTTAAATGTCTATTAATGATATAATAAAAAAGTACAATTGCTTTTATGTTTAATATGTACTATATAATATTTTATTTATATAGTATTATGCTTTCCATTTAAGTTGTAAGGTATAAAATAATTCTCATTTATATTAGTGTTCCTCAGATAGTCTTTTAGAGAGGAATCCTAGGGAGATTGGAATCAGTCCTCAATTCATGAATACCAAGTAGATGCAGTGCAGCAGTGCTCACATCAGCTTTTTAAAACTGGGTTGGCAGTAAAATACCTGATTAGCATTGCGGGTTTTTAGGAAAGTTTGTTTCTACCTTCTAAGGAAAAAATGTTCATTGTTCATTTATCCAAGAATTATTTATTCAGGAGCAGTTAATCATAGTGATTCGGAACATAGAATCTCTCAAAATCTGCTTCTGAAACTTTCTAGATATGTAGTGCTGGACAAGTTACTTAACCTTTTTATGACTTAGTCATCTCACCGGTTACCCTCCTCATGGGGTAGTTGTATTAAATGAACAGATTTTATAACACATTTAGCATAAAAATATGATTTTGTAAAGCCCCCAGGAAATATGTTAATTATATTATCTTTTGTAAAAGAATTAAAACAGACATGATAGAAGTGTGCCCCCTCCCTTTTCCCACAGCCCAAGCCCTCTTTTTGTTTTTGTTTTTGCTACCTGTTCCTCCCTGAACCTTGAGGAAGAGACAAACTACAAGGCTTACAAAAACAGCTCTCAAAGGAACTGTTTGGGGATTGCACCAGTAATCCCAGGCACGGGGCACAAAGCCATCTGAACATTTTCAGCACTTATAGACAGGGGACACTGCAACCTGATTCTAAACCACAGTGAAATGTACTCTGTCTTTCTTGCCCAGTGAAACTTCAAACGTGCTTTGGCTCAGGAAATTGTCTGGTCTTCACCTGCTTCTTGATGCATATCAAGTCAATTAAGTCCTTAAGCTCAATTTAAGTAACATAAACTATCTTTTTTCTTGACACCCTCCATGAGAGTGTAAGTTCATTAAAAGTAGGCATTTCGATTATTTTCTTCACTCATATCTCCAGTGCCTAGAACACTTGCTAGCACGAAGAAGATGGTCACTTTGTATTTGTTGAATGAAGGAAATTAATATCTATATTGTGCTAGGAACTAAGGTAGTCCGTTGTGATGTAATGATGTACAGGGCTCATGAAAGTTTTCCCCTCAAGGGTATTACCATTTAGTGAGGTAGACAGCAAGTAAACAATCAATTGCAAGTCATAGTGGTAAGGGCTTCAGTAGAGATCATCTGCCATCAGGGGTGTGTGTGAGTGTGTGAGTGACAGAGAGAGAGAAAGGGAGGGGGAGAGAGAGAGAGAGAGACTGGAAAGTATAATCACTGCCTAAGGATGCTGTCCACTGCCCAAGTCATGTGCCCACAGAGCGTGAATATGTAGGAGATATCTTTTTAAAAATCTCACATATGGGGCTTCCCTGGTGGCGCAGTGGTTGAGAGTCCGCCTGCCGATGCAGCGGACACGGGGTCGTGCCCCGGTCCGGGAAGATCCCACATGCCGCAGAGCGGCTAGGCCCGTGAGCCATGGCTGCTGAGCCTGCGCGTCCGGAGCCTGTGCTCCGCAACGGGAGAGGCCACAGCAGTGAGAGGCCCGCGTACCACCAAAAAAAAAAAAAAAAAATCTCACATATGTATCATATGAGCTTGTTTGGAGCTCTAGAGGCCATCAAACCTTAGAAGGGATACAAATAAAAATATACACAGGAAAGGCATACAAGAAGTGTTAACAAATTCTTTGAATATGAAGCACGAGTAGTAATCAAAGAAGGAAGAGATGATGAACAAAGAGAAAGAATGTTCCAGGCAGATGCAATAATAACATGGCAAATAAAGTTTATCAGCTGTTTCCTACCACTTAGCTGGATTGTCTTGAAACAGCAGAGAAGTAGGAAGACCATGTTCAGTTGACTGAAAATAGTTCAGTGTGACCAGACCATGTATAATGGGGGGGGGGGGGAGATGAGGTTAGAGAGGTAAGAAGCTTCTGAAACTTAAGGTAATGCATTATATACCCTTTTAAGTATTATTTCAAACTTAAAGTTCAGTGCAAAAAAACAAAAACAAAATAAAAAAAACAAAAAATCCCCCCAAAACAAAAAACACAAAAACTGAGTCATCAAAGGTGCAACATTGTTGGATTTTTTGCTTTTGAAAACTAATCAGGGCTGGAGCGCAGAAAATGGATTTTAAGTGGAAAAACCTGAGGCAAAGAGAATAGGAAGATCGTGAAAAATTCAGGAGATGCTGAAATAGAGTAGAAATTTAAATGAAAGAAAGAGAATGGGTGGATTCAAGAGTTATTTAGGAGATGGAATTTACAAAAGTCTTTTAAAACATTTTGACCACAGGCTAAAATAGAAAATATGCTTAGTGTCACTTCTCATTATACACACACACACACACACACACACACATATATATGAAAAGTGTTAGTTTCAGGCAATACTATGCCCTATAGATTCTGATATTTTCTGTTCTATTTTTTTATTTATTAAAAAACAGTTTTTCTAGTCACAAGGTTCATTTATTGTAAAATGTTAGACAACATTAGAATAGGGCATTGTTTGTGTTGGCCAAGAGAA